CCAGCCCCAGCCCCATCCCAGGTGCATCCAGCTGGCTCTTGGTCACTCGCCCTCCCCTGTAGTTCACAGGCAGAAACAAGACCCACAGGCCCCATTCTGTTCCCTCTGCATCTCACACCCTCGCTGGGATTAAGAGGTGAGTGTGGCCTGACACTTCCATCTCCCCAGAGAGTGGCTTTCTGGAGCCCATGCCTTTACCCACAGAATTCAAGTGTGGATCTGCAGGGCCCTCTGTTCTCACCCCTTCAGTTGTGAGACAACCAAGGCTCGGAGAGGGTGTGCCCAAGTCCGTGACTCTCAAGTGATGGGTCCAGGACTGGAACTCCACTCTTGCTGAATCCACAGAGCCTTCTGGATGCTTCTACCTGGCTGCACCACAGAATCTCTAGGCCTCAGCACCAGAGTGCAGAGCTCTGAGGGCTGAGCCGCAGGAGGCTGTATTTTTATAATGCTCCTTATATGATCCCATCCACTGCTGTGGGAGCCCTGGCTAATCCAGAGTCTTCCCTGGACAGAGGGGGTTAAGGCTCAGAGCAGTAATGGGTCACCCCAGTGACAGTCCCTGGGACCATCCCTACTGGAGGGCACTGCCCGCCTGTGACGTGGTGAACGGGGAGAGAGGTTGGGAACTGGGACCTTTGGTGACTCACAGGAGGCTCTGCCCATTGCCTCCCCAGAACGAGGTTGCCATCAACTTACTGAGTAGACTGTGGGAGTGGGTGGGCATGATTTCATCAGAGGAAGTGGCCTTGGTCTTTTGGAGATGGAAGCAGCAGACAGACTTCCTTCCTTCCTGCCTTTATTTATTTATTTATTTATTTTAAATGTTTTTATTGATTGCAGAGGGAAAGGGAGAGGGAGAGAGAGAGATAGATACATCAATGATGAGAGAGAATCATTGATTGGCTGCCTCCTGCATGCCCTACACTGGAGATCGAGCCTGCAACCCGGGCATGTGCCCTGACTGGGAAATGAACCATGACCTCCTGGTTCGTAGGTCGATGCTCAACCACTGAGCCACGGGGGCCAGGCCTGACTTTCTTTTTAATCAGTTTCTTCCCCAATCCTAACATGTTTCTTCTACACTTCTTCCACAGCCAGCAAGGCAGTCCCCGCCTATCTCTGTATCTGCTTTCTTTTACCCCCTCTCCAAGGCCTGAGAAGAAATGTTTCTGGTTTTTGTGGAACCCTCTTATCTGCGTCAGGCACTAAACATCCATTGCCTCATTTCAGCTTTACAACATTCTGTGGTGGGTTTATTGCTATCTTCACTTTATCCACAGGGATGTTGAAGCATCTTCACTCTGTTGACTAACTCCTTGTCTCTTCTTCCTTGTTCCTTCTACTTGCTGTAACTTAATTTAGTCCATCTCAGAACTTTTCTCTTGTCACCCATATGCCTGAAGGGACAAAGAGAGGGAACAGTTATCAGCACCTAGAATAAATGCCCCTAGGTGCAGGGAGAGGGCCTTTGGTGGAGGCAAATAGCAACTCAGGGTAATTCAATAGGGAGAGGATCTCCTCCCCTTGGTCAGCAGATGTCTCCCATGGGCAGGTCCCAGTGGTCAACCAGAGGGCGAAGGCCCCAGGTTATGTGGTCAATAGGAATCAGCCGTCATGCAGGGTGGAGAAGGTCGAAGAGTGGATTTAGGGGGATGAGGAACAAGTGGATAATCTAACATCCCACTTGTTGCATTCTCCATCATTAAAAAAATTAATAAACTTTTAAAGACAAGTTTTAGGTTGAACTGAAAGTATAGTGAGTTTTGAGTAGGCGAATTAACTTGCCCTGATAAAAGCTCTTTCATGGTGTCCTATTATGTGACACCTTTGAAGCCATGGCCTTCAATGTCATGCTTGTTCCACTTTCCCTGACCTCTCTCTCCACCCTTCCCCTTGCTCTCTAGGTGCAACCATCCTGCTCTTCTTCCATTTCCTCAAACTTCTCACACAGCTTTCCACCACAAGACACTAGTCCAGGGGTGGGCAACCCCTGGCACGCGTGCCAAACATGGCACGCCAGTAACTTTTGCTGGCACGTGAAACCCTCTCTTATAATCTTCCATTTACAATTGTGAATCTTTGTTCTCAGTGATGAATTTTGTTAAGTCTCGTAATAGGAGTAGCCTGATGGATGAAAGTAGTAGCTCGCGCATATCTCTGAAGGTCACGAAATATAAACCTGATGTAAAATCTCTGTCATCAGGGATGTAGCAGCAAAAGTCCCACTGATAATATCAAACGGAGTCATAAAGTTTTCTGTCGGACTATCAGTGTACATGTATACATTAAAAAATAAATGTATTTTTCATCATCATATACTGTGTTTTTGTCGCTCGAATGAATTTTATTATTTCTTCAAGGTTCTTCACATACGTACACCTTAAGAGATATCAAGTAGGCGTAACATGTTCTCAAAAAATTAGGGTTGGCACGCAGAAGAATTTTGAGTCAGAGATTTTGCTGGTTTTGGCACACAGTCACAAAAAGGTTGCCCACCCCTGCACTAGTCTGATGTTTGTATTACCTGAAATGCTTCTGCTCCCTAATTCTACTTCCACCCTTCAAATAACTTATATGACTTTGTTAGACCTCAGTACAAACATTGCTTCCTCAGGGAAGTTTTCCTGATCCCCAAACCAGATCAATGTAACTTGGGATGCAGCTTTGGGATACCTGGTGCTGTTTCTTCCTAACATTAATCACAAGTTACCCTTCATGTTTATTTCATTGAATGCTCTCTCTCTGCTAGAAGCTCCATGAGAGCAGACTGTGCGTGCTTTTGCTTCCTGTGCCATCCCCTGTACATTGCACAGAGCCTGGCACATAACAGGTTCTCAGTAAATAATTTTTTGGGGGAAAGGTCAGTAAATATTTTTTTAATAAATGAATATAAGCCAGAGAGATAGCCAGAAGAATGGAAACCTATGAGACTCTCTATGTCCTGAGAATTGGGAGCTTTGCTTTACGAGTTTTAAAAAAAAATCACCCTAGCCGGTTTGGCTCAGTGGCTAGAGCGTCAGCCTGCAGACCGAAGGGTCCCAGGTTCAATTCTGGTCAATGGCAGGTACCTCGGTTGCAGGCTCCTCCCTAGCCTGAGCCCTGCTTGTGCAGGAGGCAACCAATTGATGTGTTTCTCTCACATCGATATTTCTCTCTATCTTTCCCTTTCTCTAAAAATCAATGGGAAAATATCCTTGGGTGAGAATTTTTTTAAAAAGTGCATTTTTGCCTTTTATTTATTTTTATTTTAATTAATTAATTTTTTAATGTAGCAGTCAAGATTTAATTTAGTTCCAGACACAGTGTTATCAGGTTTTACTCATTCTCACCAAATTTCTCCTGTATCATGTTTGGTTGGGAAGCCCAAGTACAATTTATTTTGGTGCCCAACTCCCCTGGGCTTTATGACACACCAATAGATTTGACTTTTTTTTTTTTTTTTTAAAAAACACTCTTTTTTTCTTATGTGACTCTTTTTATTTATTTAAAATACAGGTTTTACCCATTTTTACCAAATTTCTCCTGTATCATGTTTGGTTGGGAAGCTCAAGTACAATTTATTCTGGTGCCCACACCCCAATGCCCCTGGGCCTTTGACACACCAATAGATTTGACTATTTTTACCCACCACATATTTCTTTACAAAAACAGACCTGGAAAATTCCATTAGGAAAATCGAAGCAGGGTTCATGAATGTGCTTGCTGACAATCAGTTTTGTTAAATCATAAACTAGCTCAGCAAAGTATTTTGTACCAAAGCAATCTCAGCAGTTCTCATAATTATATTACTTCCCACTTAAACTGTTCCCCAAGTAAAATGTACATTTATTTGACAAGTTAATCAATACTTGAACGGAAGAGATTTTGACAATGTCATTATGTTCAGTGTTTATACCTGCCTTGAATGCTTGTTCACAAGGGGGAAAGAGTTCCTAATATTTTTATAACTTATCTTCTCATTATCCCAAATAATTTGCTATTATACCATATGAGGTAGAACCTCCCTACACTCCTGTCTCGATTGAGGGGAGAAAAATAGATAAGAAATTCGTGAAAATAACTAGCTTATGAAAATGCTTGTTTTTAGGAAAGTTGGGATTATTAAAAAATGGCACAGGATTGGGAGTTAAAATATCTGGGAGACAAAAGCTCTTGGTTCAGTTTTGACACTAACTCTTTGGCCTCATGCAGGTAACTTCTCATCTAGGTCTTCAGCAACCTCCTCTGTAAAGTGAAGAATTTAAATGATCCTACATTCCTTTCTCTGTCTAAACATTCTCTAACACTGAGTTTATGAGTTTCTTTGGGTTATGGTCAGAACTCTACAGAGTTCAGACAAAGGTAACAAATTTTAAGATAGCAGGAGTTATTTTTGCATGGCCAGTAAGCCTTTTAAAACCCAAGTCTTCAAATTGAGCTACCTTCATAACCCTCTTCTTAAATTTAAATATTGTTTCCTGTCCTTTTTTCTTATGTGTCTCCACCACCTACACACACACACACACACACACACACACACACACACACACACACAAAACAAAACCCTAAAACCCCAAACAAAAACCCCCCACCCTCCTGTGTT